AATAAAATGTTCATTTTTGGGTGAACTATCCCTTTAAGGCAAACTAATTTTGTTAAGCAGAATTTTAATCAAATTTTCCAGTAATTTTTTTTTAATTATTAGAAAAGATTTGAGAAACAAAAAAGTGCCAGACATTAGGATTTATTTCAAAAAGTATCTTTTGAATTACATTTATTTTTATTTATTAGAATTGTAAGAAATATATTATTATTAAATAATAATAATAATTATTATTATTATACATATATATTATTATATAATATATTGTTATATAATTATACCAATACCATTCAGTTGGTCAATTCAGTTCAATTTTTATTGTTTTTGAAAAACATCTTTTCTTTCAGTTCTCACCAAGGCCACATTTATTAAATCAAAAATACAGTAAAACTGTAATATCGTGAAATATTATTTGAATTTAAAATAACTGTTTTCTAATTCAGTGTTTCGACTGGTGGGTTCTGAGTGGAGTGTACAGTCAAAGAAACATCAACAACAAAAAACATAATTCTAAATGTTTTTCTGATGCAAGCAAGACGTTTTTTTGAAAGACGTGCTTGAAAGCTGTTGACACTTCTGTCAGATGCAGTTTAAGGAAAGAGTGCCTGAGAAAAATGCACTGCGGTCAGACGAGATGTTGTCAGGCTTAATGTCACTCTCATTACTCTAGCGTTATTTTCACAACTTGTTACAAAATAAAAAGTCTCTTGTCATGTCAGACGTTACACTGTGCTCGTAGTGCACACTCTTCACGCTCACGCTGTTTATCACTTCACTAAAGCGCAAAAGAAACTTCCAGCATGCAATGTGTGAAATAAAAGTAAAGTACCAATAAACCACATAACTGGTACTTTGTGTGTTATCTGGGAAGGATTTGCAGGAAGGTATGATATTCATTTTATTCAGGAGCAGTTTCCATGTTTCATTATCAACTCATGTTAGTATTGTGTATTCACCATGGTAACTGTTGTTTCCATAACCCAAAAATGCCATGTTTTTTTAATTTGTGTTATTTTGTATATGTTTAAATGACTGCAGTGACTCATACCAACTTAATTGTATTAACAAAAACTAGTTTGGGACTGCTATTTAATAGCCTTACCTTATAGGCTGTTTATTCATCAGTATAAGTCATATTCTTATATTTTGTGTGTATGTTAAGTAAAGGGGGACGCTACTTGTGTGTGTGTGCCAACAATGCAATACAAATCATACATATATATATATACAGTGGGTACGGAAAGTATTCAGACCCCCTATATATATATATATATATAAAGCACATGGGTCCCATGGCCAAACCAGTTGAGAACCACTGATCTAATTGAATATTTTTTTTTAAATGTAATTTATTCCTGTGATCAAAGCTGAATTTTCAGCATCATTACACCAGTCTTCAGTGTCACATGATCCTCCAGAAATCATTCTAATATGCTGATTTGTTGCTCAAGAAACATTTATTACTATTATCAATGTCGGAAACACATGCGCTGTTTAATATTTTTGCGGAAACCATTATACATTTCAGGATTCTAGAAATTTCAAAAGAAATTATTTGAAATTATTTTTATTTGAATGGCACAATTTTCCTTCTTTCTTCCAAAAAAAACAGTATTCCAAAATCGTAGTACTATTATTCTTTATTAAATACCCTCTAATGCGATTTCTTCTCACGTAAATTGTCACGTAAAGAGTAAATCTTGTTAGATTTTGATATTTTTAGGGGAAAACTATATTTTATTTCCCCTAAATTTCCTTAGGGGTTAGGAATATTCGATTTTACATAGCAACCATCCAGAAAACCATTGCAAATCTATGCTAAAAATGGCTCAGAACACTTCAGTAACCACATAACAATGGCTTTGCAATCACACCACAACAACCCAGTATTGTGGTCACATTTTCTTCAGAAAATGTGAAAATCAAGTTGGAAAATGGAAATGGACTATAACAATAGTCTTGTATGATACTATGGTTTGATATAAATCCCAATTGTAGAAATAGAAGAGCTGAAATGACAGTCTGCCCAAAACAACATTGTGAAGATCACACATTAGCAGACTCAGCGTAACAGTTCTGAAATTCAGTCTAAGGCCATCCATTTAATTAGCCTCCCACTGAGGGTGTTCCACACACCCACCAATATCACACACATTCAGCGCTCAGCACACCATACATGCATAACCAGGTTATTCCACACGTAGAATTCAGAGATGCATATCATCTGTTTTATGGTAGTTCAGTCATTTTTGTGTTAAATCACGTAAATTGTCACGTAAAGAGTAAATCTTGTTAGATTTTGATATTTTTAGGGGAAAACTATATTTTATTTCCCGTACTTAGGGGTTAGGAATATTCGATTTTACTTAGCAACCATCCAGAAAACCATTGCAAATCTATGCTAAAAATGGCTCAGAACACTTCAGTAACCACATAACAATGGCTTTGCAATCACACCACAACAACCCAGCATTGTGGTCACATTTTCTTCAGAAAATGTGAAAATCAAGTTGGAAAATGGAAATGGACTATAACAATAGTCTTGTATGATACTATGGTTTGATATAAATCCCAATTGTAGAAATAGAAGAGCTGAAATGACAGTCTGCCCAAAACAACACTGTGAAGATCACACATTAGCAGACTCAGCGTAACAGTTCTGAAATTCAGTCTAAGGCCATCCATTTAATTAGCCTCCCACTGAGGGTGTTCCACACACCCACCAATATCACACACATTCAGCGCTCAGCACACCATACATGCATAACCAGGTTATTCCACACGTAGAATTCAGAGATGCATATCATCTGTTTTATGGTAGTTCAGTCATTTTTGTGTTAAAATACTTTCTCTTAGCTCAGTTTAATCTGCAGAGACAACTATGAGTAAAGCCATTTGTAGACTTATCCCCAAGAACTGCAACCCTATGCAGTGTTATTTTAGTATTATTTATATATAATATTGTAGTATTTATTAATATTTCAATCAATAGCATGTTTTTGTCCAAGTATTGGAAGAATTGACTTTTAAAGCTGCTATCAGTGTGAATAAATCTGAAGGAGAGCAGTTACACCATTCGTCTGATCTCCCCTAAGAGGATCAGTGGACTCGTGTCTTTATGAAATGAGATGTTAATTAATTAGATGCAGGGACGGTATCCTGTTAGTGTGGTGGGAGGGGAAGTGACATGACAGCTCACCCAATTTCACCATGAGCAGAGAATTGAGAATTGACCACAGCATTTATCAGGTTCCAGCATCAGAAAACATCAGAGAGTTACAATCAGTACAGATGGTTTCGGGTTGGCAATGGTTAATGTGCTAATTAGTTTTAACAGTAATTTCAATTTCATATAAAGATGAGCCTTGAATATTTCATGACAAGAGCATAAGTAGCACACTCGAAGCAGGGTACAAGCCTCAAGGCGTTTTGAATCCATTTTTCTTAGAGACAACTATGAGTAAAGCCATTTGTAAACTTATCCCCAAGAACTGCAACCCTATGCAGTGTTATTTTAGTATTATTTATATATAATATTGTAGTATTTATCAATATTTCAATCAATAGCATGTTTTTGTCCAAGTATTGGAAGAATTGACTTTTAAAGCTGCTATCAGTGTGAATAAATCTGAAGGAGAGCAGTTACACCATTCGTCTGATCTCCCCTAAGAGGATCAGTGGACTCGTGTCTTTATGAAATGAGATGTTAATTAATTAGATGCAGGGACGGTATCCTGTTAGTGTGGTGGGAGGGGAAGTGACATGACAGCTCACCCAATTTCACCATGAGCAGAGAATTGAGAATTGACCACAGCATTTATCAGGTTCCAGCATCAGAAAACATCAGAGAGTTACAATCAGTACAGATGGTTTCGGGTTGGCAATGGTTAATGTGCTAATTAGTTTTAACAGTAATTTCAATTTCATATAAAGATGAGCCTTGAATATTTCATGACAAGAGCATAAGTAGCACACTCGAAGCAGGGTACAAGCCTCAAGGCGTTTTGAATCCATTTTTCTTGCATTAAAATAGTCAGCAAAGATGCTCTTTTTGCAAAAACAGCTTTTTGATTGCTGAAGTTGACTCGGGGTAATGTGAGAGGTTTTTCGTTCCGATTTGTTTTGACTGCTCATGCCTTGCTTCAGGGGAAAAGAGACAAAATGTGAAGGGAAACGCATTGCATTTATAAATCTCAAAAAGAAATGTCTGGGCCATATTTCATCTTAAAACCAAATGAAGAAAAAAAAATTATATTTTGCATAAAAAAAATAATACTATTGTCCGAGTTTTTTTTTTTTTTTTTGCATTGTTACACTATTTTCATGACAATTACACACACTTCCACTCAAATTCTCAATACTGTAATAACATTCAAATTTCAAGTCAACTTTTAAAATTTTTTTTTTTTTCAAAAATACTGTAATACAATTTCTAATTATAAAGTAAGATAAAATAGCTCAGTTTAATATGCAGAGACAACTATAAGTAAAGCCATTTTTAAGTTGATCTCCATGAAAAGAGTTTCTGTGTACTGTAGTGTTATTTTAATATTATTTATATATACTATTATAGTATTTATTAATATTTTGAATGATCCATTTATACTTTACTTTTCGTTTAAGTTT